ATCCTGATCACTGATGTGAAACTGAGATGGGTGACCCTGAAAAACCCCCATTCTACCATGGGGAAGTTGCCCAGCACTTCTAGCTTTGATACTATATATGATGCCACTTCCAAGCAGACAGACTTATATGTTGAAACCATGAGACCCCTGGTAGACACAACTCTTCAGGGTTTCAATGGCATGGTGTTTGCCTACTGTCATATGAGCGCTGGCAAGACTGACACCAAACAGGGGACCTGGGTGGAGCGTGAACCATGCAGGGTCATCCCCAATGCCTTTGAGCACATTTTTACCCATACCTTATGCTCCTAGAACCAACATGCCTGGCCCATGACTCCTACATGCGAATCTACCAGAAGTTTCGAGACCTGTTCTCCAGGAGCCCAGCAAGAGGCCAGAGCTGAAGGAGAACCCTGATAGGCATCTAAATCAAAGACCTCTTTGCCTTCACCACAAAGAACACCAAGGAGATCTAGCATGCCACAAATCCAGGGAACCAGACCCAGGTGGTGGGTAGCACACATATGAATGAGGTCAGTTCCCACCCAATGCCATCTTCATCATCACCATGGAGTGTGCATGGCTTTGATGGTCAGGAACACATCCATTTGGACAATATCAACCTGGGAGACCTGGCTGGCAGTGAGATGCAGAACAAAGCAGGCCCCGATATGGCTAGAAGGACAGCCACACAGTCCACAGGTAGTGGTGGTGGTGGAGGTAGCGGTACTGGTAGAGAGAAGCCTAAAGTCTCCAAAATCAACCTCTCACTGTCTGCCTTGGCAACATAACCACTGGTGAGCAACAGGAGTACCCATATCCCCTACCAAACTCCAAGCTCACTTGGCTACTCCAGACTTTTTGGAAAGGAATGCCAAGCCCATCATAGTGGCCACACTGGGTGTGGTCTTATGGCTACTTTAAGAGCCTTTCTGTCCTGCACTTTACCAATCAAGCCAAGAATATCAAGAAAAATCCCCAAGTAAATGAGTACTCCAAGGACACACTGATGCAGGAATTCCAGGAGGAGACTGTTCACCTGAAGACCCAGCTGGAGAAAAAAGGGGTCGTTGGCAAAGTGACTCTGGAAGAAGAGCAGCAGCAAAAAGAAGGCTGTGTCAGCCTGGCAGAGTACCATGAATAGCCAGTGATTGAAACCTGGGTGACCAAAGAGAAGGATGACAACAACAACCACCACCCACCCCAGGCTATCCTGGAGTCAGCCTTGGATAAGAACATGGAAAATTACCTGCAGGAACAGAAGGAGCGGCTGGAGGAGGAGAAGGTGGCCATCCACGTTGTCTGCATCTGGGTGAATGAGAAGTAAAATCTGCTGGCAGAGGAGAATATCCTGGAAGATCTGCAGCAGAAACAGCAGGCTACAGAGCTGCTCAGAGCCAAGTACAAAGCCATGGAGAGCAAGCTGCTCATCAAGGACAAGGACATCATGGATCACACCAAAAAGCTACAGAAAACTGCTGTTGGAACTGAAGACTCAGGAGACTGTTGAGCAGAAATTCCATGAGCAGGAAATGCAGCAGGAGATGATAATCTGAAATGAGGAGACCAAGGAGCACTAGGACACCTCCATGTTCCATCCCTGCCGCAGATGGTGGGAATCATAACCAAGAAAGCAGAAGCTCTATGCCAAGCTGCAGGTGAAGGCAGAGATCCAGGACCAGGATAATGAGTAAGTACATCTGCACGTGGCAGGATCTGGAGGAGGCACAGAATGAGCACATCCAGGAACTGAAGCTCAAGTACCTTAGAGAACTTCAACTCCCCTAAAAAGAAGAACATGATTGTGAACAGGCTTTGCCAGGCTGTGAGGAGGAGCAGTAAAATAAGACCTCCATGTACTACACATGGAGAGTTTCACGCATTTGGACAGCTTTCTGAAGAAACCTTCCATATCTAAAATCTAAAAGTCCAGATCCTGGTGCCAGAGTCCTCAACACCACCACCAGTAGCCTCAAAGTCCTCACTAACCACCACTCTCCACCACACATGCCTTGCTAGACCATGGGTGGCAACCTTCAGTCAGGCTGCCCATCCCACAGGTTCCTGGGATGGGGCAACCAATCCTGGATTATTTCATCACCCCTTCAGTGTGTGTGTGTGTATGCTCATGTGTGCATATCTCTGAGAGGGTAAGAATCTGATCTGGAGACTACGACTCTGGCTGCTCTTTTTAGTCCCCTTTATTTAATTAATGTTATTTATTCATGGGAATAAGTTGGCATGAGAAAGATGCTCTCATCTGAGCTGTGTGGGCCTAATAAGGTCACTGCATAGCCTCCTCTTCTCTTGATTTTAACCTCCATCCCCAAGTCGGACCTCAAGCTCCTCCCTGTTGGCCACTCTCAGAAGGGAAGGTGGCCAATGCCTGGAAAGAAAGTACTTTTTTCTGTCTGTCTTACTGCATAATATCCATCTCTTTCTATGTGGATAGTGAGCAACTCCTAAGATATGTGGATAGTGAGCAACTCTTAAGAACTTTCTGGGACTAGAAAAATGCTAAGTATCCACTGAGGACAAGAGACATTCTGACAGTATTGGTCCTATGCTCCCAGTGGAGAGATCCTCCTCACCACTTTCTGGGCCTCAGACAACCTATTTCAGGTTCTTGGGCTCCTTTTCAAGGACTTAAATGACCACACCCATACAACCCATGCTCCTCAGCTTTGGCAAGAATTCACGGCTTCCCAAACTCTATTTCCTGCCTACCTTCCCAACCAGTGGCTACCTCCTGAGGACCTGTAGGAAATGTAACAGTAATTGAGACAACATGGGTAGGTGTTAAGGTAAATCCCTCCTTCCAGTCCCTTTGTTTCTATTCCCCTGAGAAGTAACTTTGATAACAAGTGATCAAGCCAACTCCCCATTCTTTGAGATGCTGCTCCTTCTTGCTTTGATCATCTTCCCTGGAGCTGCCTAGAACTGAGTTCATAGCGGGAGGGAGGGATGCCACTCTACCCTGGCTAAATACAGGTATTATTGAAAACTGGTCCTTTCTTCAGCATTGTGCAAACTGATCTCTAGGGAAGTACTCCTTCCCTTCCTTTGTGACATCACAAAATGTCTCCAGGTATCTCAAGTGATAAGTAAATTTCTAGGACAAAAAAAGGAGGTGGGGGTGGCAGAGAAAACGCTGGTGGGATAGGTACAGGGCTGTGTTCGTGGACTGGGGATACAGGTTCAGACTTGATGCTCATGTGAGGGTGAATGGTGATCTTGAGGGAACACCCACGTGGTATTATACCACTGGTATAATAGTGAAAGGTCCCCATGTGCCTTCTTCAGGGACACTGAGTAGCAGGCATCTCTGTGAGGGGCACTTACCACTGATAGGCAGAGGTCTAGGCAGGTGTAGCGGGGGCCTGTTGCGTTGGACATCAAATGGCACGATGGTATGCCCAACCAACGCTTGAGCTCAGCTTCCAGTTCTCCTAGAGTCTCTTTCCTCGAGGCAGGGAGAGAGAGACGAGCAGTGTCCCCCAGAAGGTCAGATGCCTCTGTGGCCCCCTCGGGAGGAGACCTCCTTTTGCATGTTATGGCTTAAGGCATTCATCTCAGAATCTGTGCATTCTCAGACGGCCAGGCCGGCGGGCGCAGAGGTTGCAGGCCGCACTGGTGGGCAAGAAGAGGGAGACGCAGAGTCCGCCGTTTAACAATCTGCCCAGAAAGCAGAACTGAAACTCACCTTCGTGGGTATGTCTATCGTGCAATTTCTGGATGGCGTTTTTCTGACATTTTTTTTTCCATATTTACTTTGATACCTAAAGTGAAGGAAATGTGGCTGTTGTTGACTTTATAAAGTTCTCTCTTCTTTCTTATTACAAAAGGGAGAGACACGGAATCACGAAAGGAAGCGAGACCATCTGCTCAAGACTGTAGTAAGGAAGGAGGGTCCTCAGGCCGAGGTTCCTCACGCCTAAGGCCTATAGGACGCGTGGCAGAGGCCGTGGGGCTCCTGAGAGGTGGCCAGGGGCTGAGGTACTGTCCATGGGCCCCCGCGACCCTGAAGCAGCGTGTGGAAGTGGCAGATGGCGGGCACCGCGCACATTTCCTCAGGCGGTTGAGGTCCTGAAGCTCTTTTCAAAGGCAGGGCAGCTGAATGTGTGCGCATGCGCTTGCGCATGCCTTCTACCCGGCCACTGAGCGCGTGGGAACTTGTTGCAGTCCCGCCAGCTGCTAACGAAAGGCCTCTCACCTGTGAGTTTTCAGGTGAGCCTTGAGGTGAGAGGATTTTTCAGTTAACTTCTCGAGTAGGTGCAGTGGCACCTGTGCTTTCTCCGCGGCGGAGGTGGGGGGGGGCGTGACTCCAGATCCTCGCGACTTTGGCCCCGCTGGCCCCTTTGTCTGATGCCAGCTTGCTGCTCCCTGAGGCTCGTTCCCCATGGGGCTCCCTCCCCTCTGCTGGAGCTGGGGCTCGCTCTATGAGGGGCTGAGGGGCTGACCTACTCTGCGCCTTCTCCACTGGGGGAGGCGGGCTGGTCCAGTAGGGTGCAGGGTGGGGACCAGGTGCTAGGAGGTCCCCGCCCTCTAGCCAGGCGCCCTCTAGCCAGGCACCCTCTCTGCCCTCCGCCACCCCCGCACTTGAAGTACCAGTCACTCCCTCCAGTCTTTAATGACTGACCTCAGTAGAGAAATACCTTATGTCTGCCCTGTCAGGGATTCTGAGGCTTTTTCCAATCTTCTATGGATATAACTGCTTTACACTTCCTTTTGTGGCGGAATTTGTAAGCTTATGTGCCTTCTCTCAATCCTGCAGCACACCAGCAGGTTGCTGACAGCCTCCCATTTGCTTTCCCAGCGGTGACGCTGAAGCTCAGATTCGTGGTGTCTTCCTGGCTTGCAGATTCAGACTCATTTTCTACACAGGCTCACTAGCCATCTACCAAAGTTCATTCTTTACACAGGCAGTGGAGTGTGCACAGTGAACTGGCCACACGGTCTGGGATGTTTTGGGTGAGGTGAACAGAGCCTTAGGGGTCTCCATGGCCCGTTTGGGAGATCCACAGGTGAGGCATCCCCAGCAGCTCATGGACAGGCCTCCTGATGGAATCCACAATGCAGTTAGCAGGATCCATAACCACATTCCTTTAATGCCTTCTGAGACTCCTATCAGCTACTCTCCCAGCATCTTCCATCCCCCCAGTTATGCAGCTCACAATGCAGTACTGTATATGGGTGAGAGAGAGAAATTGGTCTCTTTGATAGCAGCCTGCACAGCTGAGGAATCTGGATGCTCAGTCACATGCAGTCACTTCCTCCCAGTGAGAAATCATGGGCCAAAGTAGTCTTTTTGGCAATAATCCTTGCCGCCTTGAGGTAGGTGTTACATAGGTAAAGTCAAACTATTCCTCTCATTCTCTCTAATGCATCCAAACTCGATTTTTTTCTTCCAACAGTGTGCTGGAACTACTCTATTGGACTACTGGACTTCCACCAAGGCTCTCTCATCCATGATTGATTGTCTAATCCTGTGTTCTCCAGGGGCTCCGAGACCATGTGGAGAGGCACTGGAGCCAATTCATGGACCACTGCAGGGTCTACAGTGGAGACCAAGGTCTATATGCCTATTACCCAACACAGGTAGTTAGCAAATTCATATGCTTGATTTGATCTGGGTCCCTGTAACACTGAAGTTCTAAACAAAGAAACAAGACATTTTGGGTTTCCCTATTGATTTGTCATTAATTGAACTCCATTTATCTGAATCATAGGTGTATGATATACTCATAACCATTACATGAATCCCATGGAGCCTTCAAAACAAAACAAAAATACCGAATTTCAAACAATGTTATTTTTCTGTGCAATAATCTTATTAGTATTTACCAATAGATATAATTAGTTTACCTACAATTTAAAAGTATATTTAAATTGCTTTTGTGCTTCCTATCTGTATAACTGTCAGTGGCTCCATACAGCCTTGAGTGAAAGCGGTAAATATTTTTATGGATTGCCGTCATCATTGATTCAATACATTTATTAACACCCATATAGTTTTTATTACTTTTAATGAATTATTCAGGTAGAATACCATGTTAGATGTTATTCAGTGTATTGAGGATGATGTTCCTTATTTTACTCTTTTGGGAAATACAAAACATTAGATAATGTTGATATTATAACATACATTTTCCAGTGTGTTTCTTCTGACCAAGTAATTAAGGAACTGTCCAGGTATATTCAGTTTTGCATCATTACAAATCCATGAGTGAGAACAAGATATGTCACCTGGAATACAGCAACGTGCACTTTGGCCTCCAAAGCAATCTTTACAAAAGACTCAGAAAATCCTAAGTCTTTTGCACTAATCTTACATGGAATGCAAATAACATTTGAAAGGTTGTTCTGCTTCAGGACAAAACATTTTTGATCTAATGTTAAAACTGGACATCAATACAAAGGCTGGGCTGAAGGCTCTTAAGCACACAATACATTTCATGGATTTTGCACGTGCTTTAAATATTTGTATACACCATTAGGACATGGCCTTAAATTGTTAAAATGTGTTAGTTCATCTCATCTACATTTCAGCATATGACACATACTCAATATAGATTAGCTATGTGATCTTAATATTTTGTCTCTAACTAATGTACTCTGATTATGATTTTCCTGTTGTAAATTATAAGTTATCCTGTAATACCATATATGCATATAGTTATATGTATATATATGAACTTATAGGGATATTTATAATCCATTAAGTGGTATTATATTCTGATACCAAGTAAATATTTTTTTTCCATTAATACACATGTTAGGATATTTGCAGTTGCAAAGGACAGCATTAAATCTCCAACTAGCTTAAATAAAATCAGTTAATTTATATTATGATAGAAATCACTACTAAAACTTGGAGATTTACAATGCTACTTTAGCTGACAATTAAGGAGTAATAAAAGCTAACCTCCTCCCTCAGTATCCATCTTAATTGCCCCCAAATAACTGTTTGTCTGCTTAGTTCATGTCTACCTGTGAGCTAATTATTATGGATACTCTGGCTACTTTAGGTTGCAGGCTCATCTGTGAAGGTGTGAAAGCTAAATTCCATGTCAAGTGAGTGAGTGCCTCTTTCTGAAAGAAAATATTTTTATTATTAGAAAAAAAGACTAATGAATGTTTTGTTTCCAGCATTCAGAGTTTTAACAGCCCAATTCTCTGGCCTTATAGACTTTAGCCTAGTCCTTCGGGAATTTGGCCTCAAACTTGTACACATAACTTCTGACAGTCATGGGAGCTTTGATCTCCCTCAATCTAGCACTGCCACTTCCTGTATTCAATAATGCTAGGTGTGAAGTAGATACTACCCTGAGTCCCAAATTTGGAAAATCCTCAATTTCTCCAGCACCGGATGACCTTTTCAACATTTCACTCCCTTGTTGAAAAACCCATGAACCCTCCGTTGTTCTTAGGATAAGTCAAATCATAATCCTTCCCTTGGTTTCTTTGCTTGCTCTTCTTGTATCTTTCAAGAACTCTTCATCCTAAGCTCTCTTCAGTAATATTGAACTTTTTTTTCTTCTTTAAAAGTACTATACTCTTTATATACTTTCACTTGACATCTGAATATGCTGTTCCCTTTGTTAGAATCCATCTGCCTCAGCCTCTTCACTAAGCTAGGATCTAGTCACTTGTATGTTTTTACCATACAGCATTTACTCCGGGAAATGATATTTGATAGCATACATCATTTACTAAAATAAAGCTGGAAGCCAGTTGGTCAGCTTCTCTCACACACAGTACATCTGATCCTGTGCCTTTTTTGTAACTATTATATATGTACATTGTAAAATAAAAAGAAAACATATATTAGGACCAATAAGTTAAAACGCCTATGTCCAAGTCTAAGCTCTAGATCTAAGGTTTAGGACAAAGATTTTTGTGTTATCATTTGCAAAAATTATACCATGAAGGCAGTTTTCAAATTCTGTAAGTTAAACTATGGGGCTTCCTTATCTCTGATAGTTCTGGTCAATGACATGGTTGCTTTAACTTATAAAATTATGTGTATCTGTAAAATTTTCCTAGTCATGCCAAAACATAATTTTGGAGTCACACGAAAGTAACACAATCAAGATAGGTAAGGGGAGAGGTAGTAGGGAGAGGTAGGTAGTAGGGAGAGAAGCTTAAAGTAAGAGGTCTGTTTGCTAATTAATATTTCCTTGTTGCCTGCTCTAACCTCCCCTTCATGCTGACAACTTTTCCCAAACAATTTCTATGTCTTTGCGCTATTTTTATATCCTCCACAATTCAGTGTAAGAGTACTTTCCCATGTGTCACCCCTGATTTAGAGATAAGCAAATATCCTGACATTTTGCCCATTCATGAGGTAATAACTACTCCTCAAATTACTAATACAATCAATTGTTCACTCTCTTGCAAAATTATTGGAGTAGTAAGTTTATTCCTCAGCTATGCTCAGAGACATTATTAAAAACTGCACAGGCTGACCATGGTTACTGCTTCACTGTCATGGACTAGTGACCATCTTATGTTACTCAAAACAAAGAAAATTATTTCATTATTCTATCTGACTATTCATATGTGCAGAAGCTGGGGTTATTTGTAATCATATTTCAACAATGATAAGGTAAAATAAAGGTAGACACCCACTAAGGAACTGACAAAGAACACATCTGAGACTAAGGGCTGCTATCTCACTGCTTCTGAGGTTGTGCACCTCTTTGAGATATAGAATAAATCCAGGCATAAGTAGAGTGAGACCATGGTATCTTTATTGGACTTGACCAGATTGAAAATATATACCTTGTTTTCATCTGTCCATTTCGTCCTATCCACAATGCCTATAGTCAATGTGATGATTTGCCTATAAGAATAAGTGAGTAATGAACTCAGGAAACATATTTCCCACTTATTGAAGTGTGATCAACATTATTTTAATTGTATAGTTCTATAGTTATGACATATATATTTTATATATATGTATATATATTTATTCATGTTATCATGACCACAGCCAAGATATATATAACATTTTCTATCTTCCCCCAAAGTCCCTATATGTCATTTAGGCAACCCTTCCGTAATCCCTGATTCAGACCAATATCTGCTACTGTGACTATAGATTAGTTTTGCTTCCTCTAGAATTTCTGAAACATGATGTATTAATTATCTGAGACATCTATGAAAAGTCACCACAAACCTGGTGATTTAAAACAACAGAGTGTGTTGAGTTTATAAATTTGTTCTGGGAAAATGGTTATCTTAAATAAGAAATGCATATATATATATATAATAAAATAGGTGCAAATACTGTACGCTGAAAATTACTAAATATTGGTGAGAAAAATTTAATAAGGCAATGGCTTCTCTTTATTTTGGGAATCCATCAGAAGGATGCAATTTAAGGGGAGATATATGAAGCATGAGAGAGACTCTCCCTGTTATTGTGGGAAGAAGAGGGAGATGACATAGAAACATGAAAAGGAATGGGCAGCTTCTAGGAGCAAAGACCACCCTTTCCTTGATCATTAGCAAGGAAATACTTTCCTTAATCCTACAATCCCACAAGAAAATGAATCTTGCCAATGCAATGAGCTTGGGATTTCATTCATCCCTAGAGCCTCCAAAAGGAGCACAGATCTACTGGGTATTACAAGCAAAAGCACTAAGGATGTACTGTATGGTGACTAACATAACATAATAAAATAAAACAAAATTAAAAAAAATAAGCAAAAGCAGAGAGAACATGTATATTAGACATCTGTAATATGAGATAATAATCAAAAGTTATGCAATATATTACCCAAAATATATTTTGCCCATTTTTATTTCACACAAAAGCCAATGCTCATATTCTAGGTGCTGGAGGAAAAAAAAAAAGGTATAGCAGATTTGGGCTCTTAAGTGCATTTCCTTCTGTTTCACTTTTTCTCACACTATTTATACCAAATATATGCTAATAATGGACATGCTTTAGATGAAAAAGCAGAAATAGTGCCAGATTATGTGAACAAAATATTGAAATGAAATAGCAAAAGAAAAGATAGCTGAACAAAATTACCTATCCAGGGAGAATTATTCACACTGTATAAATGTTTTATTTTTTTAACTGCCTGTAACCTAAATCATAGACCCTTTCTAAAGAACGATTTTATATACTTCATTTTATTGCTGTATAAATTAGAAGAAAATAAGATGTGGTGGCTTACCCA